CCTGTGGGTTGGGGCGATCTCTAACCAGGAGTGACTCAAGTGTTTTGTATCATATTTCATCTTAGACACTCGATGGGTGCCCATAATGGGCATCTGCCCCTGTGTGCCACAAGGTGACCGTTCACTGGCCTGCATGTGGATAGGAGTTTGTAAGTCGGGGGCGATGATTGATATGCCAGTCGGATTTGAACCTTGAACCTCTGCAACAAATATAGAATGTACTACTACTTGGCTTCCCTCTACGAGAGTGCTGCACGTATAGGCCTCATCGAGTCAGAGATCAACTTGTAAATACATTGCAACGTGACGCAGTACATTCAGGTATAGTAATAAAATGTTGCCAATGTGCCCTTTGATTATTTTGAATCATTATTGAAAGAATACCTGTCTGATTTTGTACGTACATACAACATTTTGTGTATTAATGTAAAATATGGAATATGTGATGTCAGGACAAAGTATCTGTTTTGGTGGTAACCTGTACAAAAACTCACGTGAGAGCTGTTATTTTTGTGATACGGGTCAACGGGTATTTTTGTGAATCCGGACGCATCTGACTGGGGCAACTCATTGTCTTTGAAATCGGGAGCATAGTCAGATCATTCAACAGTTAAGGTATGCCACTTACAAGTTACGTATAGGAGATACATTCTCCTCAAGAACACTAATTATCATTTTGTATTACGTATACATTTTGTCGAACTGAGACTTGAAATGGACCTTGCCGATGAACATCAGTTGAAGCAAGCCGGACTGTTGTTGAGACATTGTACACCAAACCAGTCCACAGGTGGCTTGTACTGAACACATGTGTAGTGCCATAAGAGGGGAGGGGCTGCTGGGGGCTCTGGGATCCTAGGCAGATAAACCCTCGGCGCCAGACGCTAGGATCCCAGGCACCCCAAACAGTTAAGCCCCTTGGCGCCACCAACGGGGGGACTGTGCGTGCTCTGGGGTATCTGGGGTCGCACACAACCCCACCCCTCGTTGGGGACGAGGCATAAAAGTGCAGCTCCCTGGACGATCGGGGCCAGTTGCAGCTCAAGACCCAAGACCAGCCAGCTTAGGACCGTGGACCCTCTCCATCCCGCTTGTCCTTGTAAGGGCCGGGACGCTGTGAGGGCCAGTGGTGGGACTCTGGGACTCCCGGCTCTACGTCCTTGTAAGGGCGAGTTCCGAGGAAGCCAGATTCCAGACCCGCACCTTGGCTGGGTCGGGTCAATTAGCCTCCCCTAGGGTAATTGCAGCCGGAGGACCCCAGAGCGTAGCCAGAGTAGTGTATCTAGGCTGTAACAGAGTATCAGGACTGTTGGAGTGTTGTATTGTAATAAAGAAGATACCTCTACAAATGTCTCCGGAACCCATTACACATGCATTCCTAAAAGGCCGTGGTATTTATAGTTTGTGTAAAACATTCCTTTGTTTCGTGTAGAGAACGTTGAATGAAAGATGTTTGCCGATCTGTTTTTTCTCAAGGAGGTACTTTAAAGAGCACATTTGAAGGCATCGTGGATTTTTGTTACAGATTTGTATTCTAGCCTAGGTTTTATTGAATTTTAAATTCTATTCAAATAAAACTTTAGATATATCTGTCTGCATTGATATCCCACCTTGTTTACCACATGTTTACCTAAATATGTAGACGCTCCCTCTGAAGACGTCACCTCAAATTAACGAGTGGGTTACGTCAGGGCCTCCCCCTCTCTCTGGCTTGTGATGTCACCAAGAGCAGAACTCGTCTCCACGGAATCTAACGACTGCACTGTCTTGGAATGCATTTACACAGTAATCAAATCTTCACAACTGCCAGGGAACACACATTAAAAACCACTTAATGTACAATTGGAAGGCCTTTTGAATTGTCTTGAAACTGAAACACGTGTAAGGAGGTCTTCAAGGAGCAGGGTCTGAGATTGACGTGTGAAATTTGAAGTTCCATAAGCCGATCGTTTGTGATGCAAGGACCCAATAAAGAGGGCAGCTGGGAAACGTCACCATTCGTGAAGGTGACCTGTGAAGGCTCTAGGGTTTGACTTCCAGGTCACTAATGGAGCCCGAGACAAATCACATCCATTTGTGGATGTGGAGTTTTGGGAGGACTTTTCGGACAAGGTCGAGTAGAAGCAGACAGCATGTGTGACCATAAGTGTTGGGTAGGCCTGTAACCAAAAGCATGAGACACGGTTTCCCAATGTTTATTTCAATAGTTTAATTTTTAGTTGATTTGGAATACAGTACGTATTTCAATTGTGATGTAAATTTTAGTTGACGTTTACCTAACGCCATTACTTGGGTAAGGGTTAAGTATTGAATATCGCGTTTTTAGCTGTCGCGTGGCATTTTCCAAGAACGTAACCTACGATATTCAAGGGGCGGCTGTATTTTCTGTCGATCGAGTACAGCAGGCCTATGGTACCCTAAATAGGCTTGGTGCTTTGGGTTCCTTGATTTCGATGTCTCTGCCTCTGCTCACATTCGTTGAAGATTTTTATGATTTTGGTGCAGGCCCATCTAAAGCTGCGTGACCAGGAGTTGGAACCATTTCCTGTTCAACTCGGCTTGTGACAGAAATTCACTCTGGCCCAATGCATTACATTTGTAATGTGAGGTTACACCTGGATAATAATGATGGGCTCTGCCGGCCTCAGCCCGCAACTAATGGGGAGTCGAGTTAGGGGCGTGGCCCTGGAGCCGTACATTAGCTTCGGGAAAGTTCCAGGGGTGTGGCTGAGGATTGGCTGCGGGGCATCACGTGGGCCAGGGATTTAAAGGAGCGGAGAAGCCACGTGGCTGGTGCCGTGGTCCGGAGCCTGCCACGTGGCGGGCCGCCGCAGTCTCTCACGCTGTCAGCCAACAGCGTGAAGGAGCAAGGGAACTGGAGGAACGAATGTGGTGGAAGCTGTGAACGAAACTGAATAAAGAATTCTCAATTGACGACGTCTCAACGGGGTTTATTACACATTACATAGCATGTTCAATAATTATGTAGTTTGAGGAGCTCACAATGGCCGTATAAATAAATTGCATTCGTCGCGGTTAAAAATAATATGCTTATCGATGACTGGTTATAGTTAAGGGATTATACTGGTAGGAACGAAGTGAACCAGCCTACAATAGATTATATCGTCCCTCCGTCCGATTACGTGTAGCAACATCGCCCCCTACTGCAAACACTTGGCAGGACCCTACAAAAACCTTTAGACTCAGTGAGGCTTTCCTGGCTAAACAAGTGTAACATTCCCTTATAATTACCTGAGATAGTTTAAAATTAACTCACAGCGGCCTAAAGCCTACAGCTAGGCCTAAAACCTAGAACTAGGCCTCAAACTCTCCCTTCGTATCGTACCCCCGCCATTTCATTTTATTATAGCCATTCATTTGTTCGTTCCTACCAGCCCACCCCGCAGAGACCTGTTTCCCTGCTGGTCAGCCCTGTTGCATCTGCTGATGATCTGGTAATGGCTACTCAATGAGATGGCTGGCTGAGGTGCCATCTCTTGTTTTGCCGGACACACAGTAACAAGAACAACAACCGCCATTCGCCACTAAGTGGCGGTCACGTCACCATGGCGCTTGTGCCAGGCTATGTGCACGGGGTAGACCCCCAGGTGCCATGGGTCGACTGACTCAGTTGACTGGCCGATGCACCATCTGTACCCCCGACTGTGCCAACACACAGTGTACACACACACAGTGTACACACACAGTTTGTACACACACAATGTACACGCACAGTGTGTACACGCACAGGGTACACACACACAGTGTACACACACACAGTTTGTACACACAGTGTACACACACACAGTGTACACACACAGTTTGTACACACACAATGTACACGCACAGTGTACACGCACAGGGTACACACACACAGTGTACACACACACAGTGTACACGCACAGGGTACACACAGTTTGTACACACTGTACACACACACAGTGTACACACACACAGTTTGTACACACAGTGTACACACACAGAGTGTACACGCACAGGGTACACACACACAGTTTGTACACACAGTGTACACACACACAGTGTACACACACACAGTGTACACAGAGTGTACACGCACAGGGTACACACACACAGTTTGTACACACAGTGTACACACACACAGTGTACACACACACACAGTGTACACGCACAGGGTACACACACACAGTGTACACGCACAGAGTACACACACTGTACACACACACAGTTTGTACACACAGTGTACACACACACAGTGTACACACACACAGTGTACACGCACAGGGTACACACACACAGTGTACACGCACAGAGTACACACACTGTACACACACACAGTTTGTACACACACAGTGTACACACACACAGTTTGTACACACAGTGTACACACACACAGTGTACACGCACAGGGTACACACACACAGTGTACACGCACAGAGTACACACACTGTACACACACACAGTTTGTACACACAGTGTACACACACACAGTTTGTACACACAGTGTACACACACACAGTTTGTACACACACAGTGTACACACACACAGTTTGTACACACAGTGTGTACACACACACAGTGTACACACACACAGTTTGTACACACAGTGTACACGCACAGAGTACACACACACAGTGTACACACACACACAGTTTGTACACACAGTGTACACACACACACAGTTTGTACACACAGTGTACACACAACAGTGACGTCACCACTCATTAACTCGTCGGCGTGAGACGCCAGGGAAAGCTGTTCCCCGCTAGTGACGTCATGTCACCAAGATAATCAATCCCACCCCCTCCACCGCGATTTTGACCGGCGGTTCATTAACATAATTTATTCATAAAAACCGTCGCTATTTCATTGCGACAGGTTCAGTAGCCAAGCCCAATCACCCCACGTGGGCCCGGCTCATTAACATAATTTATTCAATTACACCGCTGCTCGTTGAAGGGAGGGGATTGTGTAATGAACCCCGCAAATGACGTCATGTCACTCCTGCTGCCGCGTGACGTCACGAGACACCAGGAAGCTGCCAGTCCACACGCGCGCTCACTGAGATCCGAGGTGAGAAGTTCACATCGTGGTGGTTGTTGTTGTGGTTGTTGTTGTCGTGGTTGTTGTTGTTGTTTACCCAGGTAGAGCCTCGCTCCGTCTCTCGTAGGGATATCAATTGAGTAGCAGCGAGTATGGAATCGATGTCCAGGTTGGAACATTACAACGCGGGGCCTAGCCATGCGGGGCCTTGCCTCCTGCCCTCGCCTAATTGCATTTGCTTTAATTCTCTGCTTAAGTTTAATTTGTCTTCATCTGGCTCACTACTTTGAAACTTTGTTTCTTTTAATTATTTCTACAGTTTATTTGTTTTATCCTACCAGGTCAAGCCCACTTCAGCTGCTATACCGCACTTGTTTTCAGAAGCGACCAGCTCACAAAAAAGTGGCTTATCCAAGGTTTCACTGTAATTTATATTCTTAGGTTTTTTCGGTAAAGTCACGTAGGTAAAACATCAAAATTAATGAAAATAAAACAAAAATCACGACGTTTCGGAGGCAACACAAGTCTCCGTCATCAGGTGGGACTGTCACAGCCGAATTAGCTACATCAAGTGAGGCAATGATTCAAGATGTAATCCCTTATAAGCAAGTTGAAGAGGGGGGGAGCTCATCAGAATGTGGTAGCCAATGAATGGAAACGTATCGGGAGGGAGGGGGGCGGGGCTCAAAGACAGCACGGAGTGCTCAACACATTGGGCAGAGAGGGGGAGGGGAGGCCTGTTACACATGATAGACAAAAGAACGAAAATGCCCATGTTTATACCAATGCTGGCTGAACAATGAAGAGAGTACTGTTAAAAAATAACTGGGAATGTTAACACTCGGTAAAGTAAAGTAAAATAGTGCCTGTCAGATAAGATGGTCCAAAAAGGTGTAATTAAGTCTTTTTTGCGTGGTTGATAACATCTTTCCAATGATTACTAAGTTTGTACCCATCATCACGGTTGAAATTGTCTGTTTGTATATTTGTATGGCTTCGTGTACAAACCTTTGATGGTAGCCGGGAGGTTTGCAGAGAACCTTGGTCTCGGAAAAGACAATTTCATGAGAGCCCACCGAGTTGTAGCAATGATCGGCAACGGCAGAAGAATCAGTTCTGCCGTGTTTCAGATCTGACTTGTGCTTGCGGACACGATCAGAAACATGACGTTTCGTTTCTCCAATGTAGCAATCACCACAAATGCAACTCAATTTGTAGACTCCAGAATACTGTAAGTCAGGAACGACATCCTTCACAGATGGAATCAGATCACGGATTTTATGCACTGTACTGAATCGGACTTGGATCTTATGTTTGTTTAGAATTTTGGAGATCTTTTTGGTCACGCCTGCTATGTATGGTAACGTGATGGTTTTGGTCGGAGTTTCATGTGGCTGTTTCTGTGTGGTGGGAGAGACAGCTTGGCGGATAGTACGGTCAGAGTATCCGTTCATCCTGAGGGCCCGATGTACATGTCTTAATTCACCGGTCAGGTGGTGTTTGTCAGAAATGCCATGGGCTCTGTGGTATAGCGTTTTGATGAGAGAATTCTTTTGAGATGGGTGGTGATGGGAATCCGGTTTCAAGTAGGAATCTGTGTGGGTGGCTTTCCTGTAGACAGAATGTCCCAAGGATCTGTCAGGCCTCCTCTCAAACAGAATATCCAAGAATGGTAGTTTACCGTCTTTCTCCACTTCCATGGTGAATCTGATGGATGGGTGTCTAGAATTGATGTGGTCCAAGAAGTGGTTCAATGCTGGGAGGCCATGTGGCCAGATGACAAAAGTGTCATCCACATACCTCTTCCACATGGAAGGACGCAGGGTGGATGTCTGGATGGCGTCTGATTCAAACTTTTCCATGAACATGTTGGCTATAACTGGTGACAAAGGGGAGCCCATAGGGGTACCCTCATTCTGTTTGTAGAAGGTGCCATTCCAGGTAAAATAGGTGTTGGTGAGGCAATGCCTAACCAGCGCAGGTGCATCAGAATTCAATCCATGTTGGACTAAGTCCTCAATTATTGTTAGGGTGTCCGGTACTGGGACTTTGGTAAACAAAGATACTACATCAAAGCTGACGAGGATGTCATCAGGAGATAGTACCATGTCCTTAACCATAGAGACTAATTGGGTTGAGTTGAGTACTGTCGAAGAGGTCTTGCCTGTGAAGGGGAGCAGAGTATCTGATAGAAAACGGGCTAGTTTGTACGTAGGAGAGTTTATCGTCGACACAATGGGTCGTAGCGGGGTGCCTTCCTTATAGATTTTGGGAAGACCATAGAGTCTGGGAGGTTTTGCCGCCGATGGTTTTAGAGAGGGACGTTTGCTTGGTTCGATTAGGGAAGTCGAACTCGTGATGATACTGTTGGTTTTTGTCGTTAGGCTTTTAGTGGGATCGTTTTTTATTTTGGAGTAACTCCCAAATCAGGTTAGCTGATTTCTAAATTCAACCTATCTAAGAAGAAATTAGAGCCACACATCGCAAAGCTGGATGTTAACAAGACCGTGATTAATCAGAGTAACATCCCAATTTCTGACACTCTAAAAACGGTATTGGCCAAAGGACTAAATTTCGCCGTCACCCCTAAATATATACCAGTAGAGGATATGATTTCTCAGATTGATGTAGCCCTCAGAGGCATAGGACACATCCATGTGGATGTAGCAAGAGCTGAAATAGCTACTATTCTTAAGAATGCTAAGAAACCCACTAGTAACATCAGCAAAAATGAACGCTCTGAACTCGCGGACCTAAAAAAGAGAGATGATATAGTCATCCTCTCGGCAGACAAGGGCAATGCCACGGTCATCATGGATAAAGATTCATACAACAACAAAATCCTGGACCTTCTTAATGATGGGAGTTACTCCAAAATTAAAAACGATCCCACTAAAAGCCTAACGACGAAAACCAACAGTATCATCACGAGTTCGACTTCCCTAATCGAACCAAGCAAACGTCCCTCTCTAAAACCATTGGCGGCAAGACCTCCCAGACTCTATGGTCCATAAGGAAGGCACCCCGCTACGACCCATTGTGTCGACGATAACTCTCCTACGTACAAACTAGCCCGTTTTCTATCAGATACTCTGCTCCCCTTCACAGGCAAGACCTCTTCGGCAGTACTCAACTCAACCCAATTAGTCTCTATGGTTAAGGACATGGTACTATCACCTGATGACATCCTCGTCAGCTTTGATGTAGTATCTTTGTTTACCAAAGTCCCAGTACCGGACACCCTAACAATAATTGAGGACTTGGTCCAACATGGATTGAATTCTGATGCACCTGCGCTGGTTAGACATTGCCTCACCAACACCTATTTTACCTGGAATGGCACCTTCTACAAACAGAATGAGGGTACCCCTATGGGCTCCCCTTTGTCACCAGTTATAGCTAACATGTTCATGGAAAAGTTTGAATCAGACGCCATCCAGACATCCACCCTGCGTCCTTCCCTGTGGAAGAGGTATGTGGATTACACTTTTGTCATCTGGCCACATGGCCTCCCAGCATTGAACCACTTCTTGGACCACATCAATTCTAGACACCCATCCATCAGATTCACCATGGAAGTGGAGAAAGACGGTAAACTACCATTCTTGGATATTCTGTTTGAGAGGAGGCCTGACGGATCCTTGGGACATTCTGTCTACAGGAAAGCCACCCACACAGATTCCTACTTGAAACCGGATTCCCACCACCACCCATCTCAAAAGAATTCTCTCATCAAAACGCTATACCACAGAGCCCATGGCATTTCTGACAAACACCACCTGACCGGTGAATTAAGACATGTACATCGGGCCCTCAGGATGAACGGATACTCTGACCGTACTATCCGCCAAGCTGTCTCTCCCACCACACAGAAACAGCCACATGAAACTCCGACCAAAACCATCACGTTACCATACATAGCAGGCGTGACCAAAAAGATCTCCAAAATTCTAAACAAACATAAGATCCAAGTCCGATTCAGTACAGTGCATAAAATCCGTGATCTGATTCCATCTGTGAAAGATGTTGTTCCTGACTTACAGTATTCTGGAGTCTACAAATTGAGTTGCATTTGTGGTGATTGCTACATTGGAGAAACGAAACGTCATGTTTCTGATCGTGTCCGCAAGCACAAGTCAGATCTGAAACACGGCAGAACTGATTCTTCTGCCGTTGCCGATCATTGCTACAACTCGGTGGGCTCTCATGAAATTGTCTTTTCCGAGACCAAGGTTCTCTGCAAACCTCCCGGCTACCATCAAAGGTTTGTACACAAAGCCATACAAATATACAAACAGACATAATTTCAACCGTGATGATGGGTACAAACTTAGTAATCATTGGAAAGATGTTATCAACCACGCAAAAAAGACTTAATTACACCTTTTTGGACCATCTTATCTGACAGGCACTTTTACTTTACTTTACCGAGTGTTAACATTCCCAGTTATTTTTTAACAGTACTCTCTTCATTGTTCAGCCAGCATTGGTATAAACATGGGCATTTTCGTTCTTTTGTCTATCATGTGTATCAGGCCTCCCCTCCCCCTCTCTGCCCAATGTGTTGAGCACTCCGTGCTGTCTTTGAGCCCCGCCCCCCTCCCTCTCGATACGTTTCCATTCATTGGCTACCACATTCTGATGAGCTCCCCCCCTCTCCCCCACCCCTTCAACTTGCTTATAAGGGATTACATCTTGAATCATTGCCTCACTTGATGCAGCTAATTCGGCTGTGACGGTCCCACCTGATGACGGTGACTTGTGTTGCCTAAAAAAAAAAAACCTAAGAATATGAATCCTTGCAGTCACGAAAGCTTCAAATCTAGAATTCTCTGTAATGTGTTTGTGTGTGATATATTGTACTAGGGTGGCAAGATGTCAACTACCTCACATGGTATGCAGAATGTCGTGGGTTCGATTCCAACCCTGACGCATTTATAATTGCAGTTTACATGTTTTATTTTTTCTCTCTCTCCCTGTTGTGGCATTGATTTTTCTCCACATTTTAGAAACATTCATTTTGAGAATTTTGCTGCAATACATTTCCATATTTTAACCCACTAAGTTGAGCTATCATTTGTGTCCAGGTCGATTCTGAAAAAGAGCTATGCAGCTCAGATGGCCTCACCTGGTAAAATAAAAATAGTGTACTGTGTTTGAGGGTTTTCCAATTTAATTTCTTACTTAGCAGTTAAAGATTATGTTTCAGGAGGGTCCTGCATTGGACTGTTTGACCACCACCAACTATATTTTGAGTTTAGGTTTGGGAGAAAAACGGAAAACCCAGTGGAACACCAATGCCGACGGTGACGGCTGACGCCAGGATAGCGGCCACGGGCTCGAAGCGATGGCAACCCGGCTCTTGTCCCAAGAAAGGAATCCGCTCCCCGCTGCCCTCCACGGTGGCGCATCGCCGGCGGGGCTGCACGTTGAGCCCCAACTTTTCCAGGCGGTCGGTACCAGCAATACACTCGTGACATAACACGCTCGACACGTATAACTCCTGGTTACTCACCTGGTGTCCGAGGCGACCCTTAAGGGTGACCCTCCCCAGCAGTCCCATCCCACTTCCACTTGCAGTGTGCAGCGCACGATCCGGGGCCTGTCGGCGGCCCACTTCAACCCCGACCACGCTGCAATGTGTTGCACTCATGAGTGACATTACCGCCCCACGCGTCCAGCAGAATCCGGGTTTGCCGCCTGTTCACCTGCCCTTCCACGAGCCACGTGGCCCCCATTATTCCTGCCACCAGCTCCCGCAGCCAGTCACCCGCAGTCGCCGCATTCTGGGGTGTTGTTGTCAATATCTGCGTGGGGGTCATTCGTTACCATTATCATGACAGTTTATTTGTGTTGGGACCACGTGGATTGCACCCCTCTGTGGTCCCCTCTTTAGGGAGGCCTTGGTGTTTAACCCTGGTGCTTCTCTCGCGCGGGCGATCTTGGGACTGTCTCTCACGAGATGCCCCCATTGGTCGCATAGATAGCACGTACGGGGAAGGGCGGTGGCTCCATAAGAGGCCCCTTGCCCACTCCCCCTTACCCTCCCAGTGCGCATTTGTTCGAGTTCTGCCTCTTATTGAGATACTCGCCTGGTTAGCCCCCCGACCATGGAGCGTAGCCCTCCCACCTCGGACTGGACTATCTCCGCTGTAGACTGCAGCTTGGTAACATTCAGGTGTACTTGGGTCACCTCCCCACATACTTGGGTTACCTCCTCACGTACTTGGGTTACATGGCCTGTGATCTCTTATGCCGGTCTGTATCCCTGCCACCCATCCTGGGATTGTCTCACGGGGTCCTGGAGGCTCCCTCGTCCCCCCCCCCTCACCGTTCTCGCGAGCTTCTCCTCTGGAAGAAGACTTGCAATGGTGTGCTCCTGTTCCAGCCGTCAGAATTGCGCACGCTCGCGAGCAAATCTCTCACACACGTGCGCGTGCTCGGCAAGGGTGTTACATGGGGGATATGGGCAGTTCGCATCTGGCTGCCACCAGGTTGTGCTTGTCAGATACTGCTGAACTTTCTCGGCGGCGAGGTCATCGATGATCTCGGCAGTGTATCCCAGGCTTTCGCTCTGTGTTAGCAAGCGTGATTTATTTTAGTGTCCGCTCACTGAGATCTGAAGTGAGAAGTTCACATCGTGGTTATTGTTGTCGTGGTGGTAGTTGTTGTTTACCCAGGTAGAGCCTCGCTCCTTCTCTGTCTTGTAGGGAGGCCGCTTTGGATTGCACTACTCTTCGATTTCACATTAACATGCTAATTTATTACATTAACATCACTAGCCCCGGCCACTTCCTTATGATCCTTGGGCTACACCCATTTCAAACCTTTTACAACGGTCTGCCTCAGCAGCAGACCATGCATTTTCTAGCAGAGTGTTTTTGTTTGCTTTCTGACCACAAGTATTGTGGGTAATGCACACATGATTCCTTATTTGGAATACAGTACAGTACTTATTTCAATTGTGATGTTTATTTTAGTTGCCGTTTACCTAACCCCATTATTTAGGTAATGCTTAAGTATAATTATGTATTTTGAGAAGCTCACAATGGCCCTATACAAAATTGCATTTCATACAGTAACAATGATACGCTAATCGATGCCTGGTTATAGTCAAGGGATCGTCCCCTGCTGGTCAACCATGTTACGCATGTTGATGATCTGGTCATGGCTACTCAATGATATTGAGTTGGAGAATCGTGTTCTATACCTGGAGAATTCCATGACGAAATGGGGCTCTGCATATGTTCTACAAAAAGATCACCTCCCTGGGAAAATCTTGACTTAAAGTTTTCGTAACTGCAGGAATTCATATTCTTTGGGTCTTTCGGTTAAGTGACGTGACTTTACCGAAAGACCCAAAGAATACCTCCCTGGGAATTTAATGTCATACAACACTGCACCTGCTCAGCTCTCCATGAATAATCAGGTCGTTCTACACGTGGTGGAGGAGCTCCTATACCTGGTTAATGTGTTCATGACCTTATTTGGCATCCAAAGTGTCACTTCAAATTAGTCTAGCAGCATTTTTTCATTAAGCTCTGTAACACTATGTGGAAGCTGCCTGGACTTTTTTGCATACAAAGCTGTGAGTGTCCATCGCCAAGGTCTAGTCCATTGCAAAGGTCTTGTCAATAAAACAGGCAATAGTCTACATTATAGACTGCCAATACACTCACTGAGGTTAAGAACCAGGCTACATTTTCTACATTATAGACTGCCAGTATGCTCACTGAGGTTAAGAACCAGGCTACAGTCTACATTAGTCGTTTTTTTTCTTCTATTCACTTTATTTGTATTATTATTTTATATCTACGTGACTTTACCGAAATAACCAAAGAATATGAATTCCTGCTATCACAAAAGTTTTAAGTCAAGATTTTCCCAGGGAGGTGATCTTTTTGTAGAACATATGCAAGGCCCCATTTCGTCATGGAATTCAACAGGTACAGAACAAGATTTTATAGGAATGGAAACAGTCAGGAAATTAACAATGCACATATGCAGCTTAAGTTAGATCTGTTCATCCTCGCATTCAAGCTCATCTGAGCCTGGCTTCAGACCTTTAAGTTGCAAATGAACATTAATTTATACATTTCTGCATAATACAAATAGTATCAACAGCCTTTGCTATGTTAGCTAATTTTTCTTAAATAAATATTCCTGTCATAGCTAGACAACCGAAATTGTGTGCTTGGAGTTTTTGGTAAATATTCATTTTGAAGACACTTGGGTGTCGAGTCATATTTATGACCATTTGCCCTCTCATTGTGTGCCTTAGCAGCCCGTGTGATGAATTAGGGAATCTCTTTCACTATTTCATGAAAATATGAATATGCATAGATATGTAAGTCATGTGTGACTGTATATATGCATTCCTCTGTGCCTCAATACTCACAGAGATGGTGTGGATATGTTTTTCTGTCTGCAGCTGATGCTCGCTCTGCAGAGTTGGTCTGATGGAGCAAAGGCACTCAGCGCAGCTCGGTACAAGAAGGAAACAATGCGACCAGAATGCAAACAGCATGGATCGTACTGGAAACTTGACACAGCACCAGAGAACACACACAGGAGAGAAACCCTTCAAGTGCACTGTGTGTGGGAAGGCGTTTGCACAGTCATCAACTCTTCAGACCCACCAGAGAACACACACAGGAGAGAAACCTTTTAAGTGCAGTGTGTGTAAAAAGGTGTTTGCACGGTCATCCATTCTTAAATCACACCAGAGAACACACACAAGAGAGAAATCTTTTAAGTGCACTCTGTGTGGGAAGGCGTTTGCATTGTCATCAAATCTTAAGATCCACCAGAGAACACACACAGGAGAGAAACCTTTTAAGTGCACTGTGTGTGAGAAGGCGTTTGCACAGTCATCAAATCTTAAGACCCACCAGAGAACACACACAGGAGATAAGCCCTTCAAGTGCAGTGTGTGTGGGAAGGCATTTTTTTATTCATCTACTCTTAAACAACACCAGAGATCACACACAGGAAAGAAACCTTTCAAGTGCACTGTGTGTTAGAAGGCGTTTGCACAGTCACCACATCTTCAAAGACACCAGAGAACACACACAGGAGAGAAACATTTCAAGTGCATTGTGTGTGAGAAGGCGTTTTCAGATTCATCTGCTCTTCGACGACACCAGAGAACACACACAGGAGATAAACCCTTCAAGTGCAGTGTGTGTGAGAAGGCGTTTTCAGATTCATCTGCTCTTCGACGACACCAGAGAACACACACAGGAGATAAACCCTTCAAGTGCAGTGTGTGTGGGAAGACATTTTTAGATTCATCTACTCTTAAACAACACCAGAGAACACACACAGGAGAGAAACTCTTCAATTGCAGTGTTTGTGGGAAAGCGTTTGCACAGTCATCAAATCTTAAAAAACACCAGAGAACACACAAGCATCAGAAAATCCACAAGAAGTGTAATCTGAAATCAGCTTGTGAAAGTCAAAGTGCTGCAATGACCCCATTGTTCATGAAACAAGAACCAGAAGACAATCCCAGCCTGGACACTTTGAAAGGTATCAAGGTGAAATATGAAGAGGCGAAAGTGAAATGTGAAGAAGTAACAGTGAAGAGCGTAGAAGTGAAGGTTAAATTTGAAGATTATTCAACTCCAAAATCGGACCTTCACATAGATGGAGGCAGTGTGAAACAGGAACTAAATTCTGACTGTGAGGCAGAGCGAGGCAACTCCCATGAGTTTGTGGATGTGGAGGTGTGGGTGGACTTCTTAGACAATACAAAGTCAAATGGAGACCAGGTAGATGTGCAAGCTTCAGACAATTAAGCTCCAATGGATGCACCTTTGTCACAGGCCTTTCTAATGAATATAATGTGAAGTTGAACACTCAATTTCTAGGTTCAAACTGCAGTGTAAGCGTGGCCAGTATTTGTGAACCTGTGGGTTGGGGCGATCTCTAACCAGGAGTGACTCAAGTGTTTTGTATCATATCTCATCTTAGACACTCGATGGGTGCCCATTATGGGCATCTGCCCCTGTGTGCCACGTGGATATGAGTTTGTAAGTCGGGGGAGATGATTGATATGCCAGTCGGATTTGAACCTTGAACCTCTGCAATAAATAGAGAATGTACTACTACTTGGCTTCCCTCTGAGAGTGCTGCACATATAGGCCTCATCTCGGCAGAGATCTACTTGTAAATACGTTGCAACGTGACGCAGTACATTTCAGTATAGTAATAAAATGTTGCCAATGTGCCCTTTGATTATTTTGAATCATAATTGAAAGAATACCTGTCTGATTTTGTACGTACATACAACATTTTGTGTATTAATGTCAAACATGGAATATGTGCTGTCAGGACAAAGTATCTGTTTTGGTGGTAACCTGTACAAAAACTCACGTGAGAGCTGTTATTTTTGTGATACGAGTCAAAGGGTATTTTTGTGAATCAGGACGCATCTGACTGGGGCAACTCATTGTCTTTGAAATCGGGAGCATAGTCGGATCATTCATCAGTTAAGGTATGCCACTTATAAGTTACGTATAGGAGATACATTCTCCACAAGAACACTAATTATCATTTTGTGTTACGTATACATTTTGTCGAACTGAGACTTGAAATGGACCTTGCCGATGAACATCAGTTGAAGCAAGCCGGACTGTTGAGACATTGTACACCAAAACCAGTCCACAGGTGGCTTGTACTGAACACATATGTAGTGCCATAAGAAAGGGGGGGCTGCTGGGGGCTCTAGGATCCTAGGCAGATAAGCCCTCGGCGCGAGGCGCTAGAATCCCAGGCACCCCAAACAGTTGAGCCCTTTGGCGCCACCAACGGGGGGGGGGGCTGTGCGTGCTCTGTGGGATATCTGGGGGCGCACACAACCCCACCCCTCGTTCGTTGGGGACGAGGCATAAAAGGGCAGCTCCCTGGCCGATCGGGGCCAGTTGCAGCTCAAGACCCAAGATCAGCCAGCTTAGTACCCTGGACCCCCTCGTCCCACTTGTCCTTGTATGGGCCGGGACGTTGTGAGGGCCAGTGGTGGGACTCTGGGACTCCCGGCTCTACGTCCTTGTAAGGGCGAGTTCCGAGGAAGCCAGAGTCCAGACCCGCACCTTGGCTGGGTCGGGTCAATTAGCCTCCCCTAGGGTAATTGCAGCCGGAGGACCCCAGAGCGTAGCCAGAGTAGTGTATCTAGGCTGTAACAGAGTATCAGGACTGTTGGAGTGTTGTATTGTAATAAAGAAGATACCTCTACAAGTGTCTCCGGAACCCATTACACATGCATTCCTAAAAGGCCGTGGTATTTATAGTTTGTGTAAAACATTCCTTTGTTTCGTGTAGAGAACGTTGAATGAAAGATGTTTGCCGATCTGTTTTTTCTCAAGGAGGTACTTTAAAGAGCACATTTGAAGGCATCGTGGATTTTTGTTACAGATTTGTATTCTAGCCTAGGTTTTATTGAATTTTAAATTCTATTCAAATAAAACTTTAGATATATCTGTCTGCATTGATATCCCACCTTGTTTACCACATGTTTACCTAAATATGTAGACGCTCCCTCTGAAGACGTCACCTCAAATTAACGAGTGGGTTACGTCAGGGCCTCCCCCTCTCTCTGGCTTGTGATGTCACCAAGAGCAGAACTCGTCTCCACGGAATCTAACGACTGCACTGTCTTGGAATGTATTTACACAGTAATCAAATCTTCACAACTGCCAGGGAACACACATTAAAAACCACTTAATGTACAATTGGAAGGCCTCTTGAATTGTCTTGAAACTGAAAAACGTGTAAGGAGGTCTTCAAGGAGCAGAGTCTGAGATTGACGTGTGAAATTTGAAGTTCCATAAGCCGATCGTTTGTGATGCAAGGACCCAATAAAGAGGGCAGCTGGGAAACGTCACCATTCGTGAAGGTGACCTGTGAAGGCTCTAGGGTTTGACTTCCAGGTCACTAATGGAGCCCGAGACAAATCACATCCATTTGTGGATGTGGAGTTTTGGGAGGACTTTTCGGACAAGGTCGAGTAGAAGCAGACAGCATGTGTGACCATAAGTGTTGGGTAGGCCTGTAACCAAAAGCATGAGACACGGTTTCCCAATGTTTATTTCAATAGTTTAATTTTTAGTTGATTTGGAATACAGTACGTATTTCAATTGTGATGTAAATTTTAGTTGACGTTTACCTAACGCCATTACTTGGGTAAGGGTTAAGTATTGAATATCGCGTTTTTAGCTGTCGCGTGGCATTTTCCAAGAACGTAACCTACGATATTCAAGGGGCGGCTGTATTTTCTGTCGATCGAGTACAGCAGGCCTATGGTACCCTAAATAGGCTTGGTGCTTTGGGTTCCTTGATTTCGATGTCTCTGCCTCTGCTCACATTCGTTGAGGATTTTTATGATTTTGGGCAGGCCCATCTAAAGCTGCGTGACCAGGAGTTGGAACCATTTCCTGTTCAACTCGGCTTGTGACAGAAATTCACTCTGGCCCAATGCATTACATTTGTAATGTGAGGTTACACCTGGATAATAATGATGGGCTCTGCCGGCCTCAGCCCGCAACTAATGGGGAGTCGAGTTAGGGGCGTGGCCCTGGAGCCGTACATTAGCTTCGGGAAAGTTCCAGGGGTGTGGCTGAGGATTGGCTGCGGGGCATCACGTGGGCCAGGGATTTAAAGGAGCGGAGAAGCCACGTGGCTGGTGCCGTGGTCCGGAGCCTGCCACGTGGCGGGCCGCCGCAGTCTCTCTCTCACGCTGTCAGCCAACAGCGTGAAGGAGCAAGGGAACTGGAGGAACGAATGTGGTGGAAGCTGTGAACGAAACTGAATAAAGAATTCTCAATTGACGACGTCTCAACGGGGTTTATTACACATTACATAGCATGTTCAATAATTATGTAGTTTGAGGAGCTCACAATGGCCGTATAAATAAATTGCATTCGTCGCGGTTAAAAATAATATGCTTATCGATGACTGGTTATAGTTAAGGGATTATACTGGTAGGAACGAAGTGAACCAGCCTACAATAGATTATATCGTCCCTCCGTCCGATTACGTGTAGCAACATCGCCCCCTACTGCAAACACTTGGCAGGACCCTACAAAAACCTTTAGACTCAGTGAGGCTTTCCTGGCTAAACAAGTGTAACATTCCCTTATAATTACCTGAGATAGTTTAAAATTAACTCACAGCGGCCTAAAGCCTACAGCTAGGCCTAAAGCCTAGAACTAGGCCTCAAACTCTCCCTTCGTATCGTACCCCCGCCATTTCATTTTATTATAGCCATTCATTTGTTCCTACCAGCCCACCCCGCAGGGACCTGTTTCCCTGCTGGTCAGCCCTGTTGCATCTGCTGATGATCTGGTAATGGCTACTCAATGAGATGGCTGGCTGAGGTGCCATCTCTTGTTTTGCCGGACACACAGTAACAATAACAACAACCGCCATTCGCCACTAAGTGGCGGTCACGTCACCATGGCGCTTGTGCCAGGCTATGTGCACGGGGTAGACCCAGGTGCCATGGGTCGACTGACTCAGTTGACTGGCCGATGCACCATCTGTACCCCCGACTGTGCCAACACACAGTGTACACACACGCACACAGTTTGTACACACACAGTGTACACACAGTGTACACACACACACAGTTTGTACACACAGTGTACACAAACACACAGTTTGTACACACAGTGTACACGCACAGGGTACACGCACACAGTTTGTACACACAGTGTACACACACACAGTTTGTACACACAGTGTACACACACACAGTGTACACACACACAGTGTACACACACACAGTGTACACACACACAGTTTGTACACACAGTGTACACACACAGTGTACACGCACACAGTGTATGCACAGCGTACACGCACACAGTGTACACGCACAGAGTACACACACAGTGTACACACACACACAGTTTGTACACACACAGTTTGTACACACAGTGCACACACACAGTTTATACACACACAGTGACGTCACCACTCATTAACTCGTCGGCGTGAGACGCCAGGGAAAGCTGTTCGCCGCTAGTGACGTCATGTCACCAAGATATTCAATCCCCCCCCCTCCACCGCGCGTTTGACTGGCGGTTCATTAACATAATTTATTTCATTGCGACGGGTTCAGCAACCAAGCCCAATCACCCCACGTGGGCCCGGCTTGTTAACATAATTTATTCAATTACACCGCTGCTTGTTGTGGGAGGGGATTGTGTGATGAACCCCGCTAGTGACGTCATGTCACCTCCTGCTGCCGCGTGACGTCACGATATATCCGGAAGCTGCTGCACCGCGCGCGCGCTCACTGAGATCCGAGGGGAGAAGTTGACATCGTGGTGGTTGTTGTTGTTGTGGTGGTTGTTGTTGTTTACCCAGGCAGAGCCTCGCTCCGTCTCTCGTAGGGATATCAATTGAGTAGCAGCGAGTATGGAATCGATGTCCAGGTTGGAACATTACAACGCGGGGCCTAGCCATGCGGGGCCTTGCCTCCTGCCCTCGCCTGATTGCATTTGCTTTAATTCTCTGCTTAAGTTTAATTTGTCTTCATCTGACTCACTACTTTGAAACTTTGTTTCTTTTAAGTATTTCTACAGTTTTTTTATTATCCTACCAGGCCAAGCCCACTTCAGCTGCTATACCGCTCTTGTTTTCTGAAGCGACCAGCCCAGAACAAAGTGGCTTATCAACGTGTGGAAATGTCTGTCGGTCAAATACTCTAAACGCGTGGTGATGTTGACTCTAAATGTGGAGGGGAAAACCCTGAGGATCCGGAGGAAAATCCACGCGACCACGGGGAGAGAGAGAGACACGCAAACTCCAAATATACAGGAGGGGTCGGGATCGAACCCACCACCTCCTGTAATCCATGAGAGGCAGTAAACATCTCCCAGCCACCATGGTGCACACTCGAGTACATGACCACAATGAGTCTCAGCACTCTAATTCAGGAGCGTTCTGCCGAGTTGGTTTTGCTGATGCACCCTTTAGACCGATGAACAACTATTTTTATGATTATTGTTTTTTTACCCTGTTATCTGGCAACAAAACTGACACCTTTTTTACGAGGAGTCATGTTTGCATAGACCACAATACCTGCAGTCAATGCAAACAAAAAATATAACTGATAATGTATGCACTGTCCTTGAAGTTGATTGGTCCACACCTGAGACAGCTTTCCTTAGAGCCTAGTTTCTCTGATGGTGCATTGTCTTTGAGTTGTGCGCCTTTTGGCGTAATCTGGTCCAACACTATGTGAGACGAGGCTCTAAGGTAAGCTTTCTCGGGTGTGGACCAATCAACTTCAAGGACAGTGCATACATGATCAGAGTTATGTTTTTTTTCATTATGACTGCAGGTATTGTGGTCTATGCAAACATGACTCCTCGTAAAGAAGGTGTCAGTTTTGTTGCCAGATTAAAGGGTAAAAAAAACAATTATATTTTTTACTGGCAAATGAGGTTCCAATGGTGTAAACTATTTTTATATTACCAACCAAGGCTCACAGAGCTGTTAGATATTTTGTCAGAAGCCACCTGGCCATAGATGATAGCTCAACGAAATGGCTTTAAACGTGGAAGATTATAGCAGCCAAATAATCTAAATGCATGTTACTAAATGTGGAGGGGAAAATCGAAGGACCCGGAGAAAAAATGATCCGAGTGAGCGAGTGTACTCATTTGTGTGAGTGTACTCCGTGAGCGTACTCTGTGTGCGTGAGTTCGATTCCAACCCTGACGCATTTATAATTGCAGTTTACATTTTTTATTTTTTCTCTCTCTCCCTGTAGTGGCATTGATTTTTCTCCACATTTAGAAACATGCATTTTAAGAATTTTTCTGCAAAACATTTCCATATTATAACCTACTAAGCTGAGCTATCATTTGTGTCCAGGTCGATTCTGAAAAAGAGCTATGCAGCTCAGATGGCCTCACCTGGTAAAATAAAAAAAGTGTATTGTGTTTGAGGGTTTCCCAATTTAATTTCTTATTTAGCAGTTAAAGATTATGTTTCAGGAGGGTCCTGCATTGCACTGTTTGACCACCTCCAACTATATTTTGAGTTTAGGTTTGGGAGACAAACGGAAAACCCAGTGGAACACCAATGCCGACGGTGACGGCCGACGCCAGGATAGCGGCCACGGGCTCGAAGCGAGGGCAACCCGGCTCTTGTCCCAAGAAAGGAATCTGCTCCCTGCTGCCCTCCACGGTGGCACATCGCCGGCGGGGCTGCACGCTGAGCCCCAACTTTTCTAGGAGGTCGGTACCAGCAATACACTCGTGGCATAACACGCTCGACACATATAACTCCTGGTTACACACCTGGTGTCCGAGGCGACCCTTAAGGAGTTAAGGGTGACCCTCCCCAGCAGTCCCATCCCATTTCCACTTGCAGTGTGCAGCGCACGATCCGGGGCCTGTCGGCGGCCCACTTCAACCCCGACCACGTTGCAATGTGTTGCACTCACGAGTGACATTACCGCCCCACGTGTCCAGCAGAATCCGGGTTTGCCGCCTGTTCACCTGCCCTTCCACGAGCGACGTGGCCCCCATTATTCCTGCCACCAGCTCCCGCAGCCAGTCACCCGCAGTCGCCGCATTCTGGGGTGTTGTTGTCAATATTTGCGTGGGGGTCATTCGTCACCATTATCATGACAGTTTATTTGTGTTGGGTCCACGTGGATTGCACCCCTCTGTGGTCCCCTCTTTAGGGAGGCCTTGGTGTTTAACCCTGGTGCTTCTCTCGCGCGGGCGATCTGGGGACTGTCTCTCACGAGATGCCCCCATTGGTCGCATAGATAGCACGCACGGGGAAGGGCGGTGGCTCCATAAGAGGCCCCTTTCCCACTCCCCCTTACCCTCCCAGTGCGCATTTTTTCGAGTTCTGCCTCTTATTGAGATACTCGCCTGGTTAGCCCCCCGACCATGGAGCGTAGCCCTCCCACCTCGGACTGGACTATCTCCGCTGTAGACTGCAGCTTGGTAACATTCAGGTGTACTTGGGTTACCTCCTCGCGTACTTGGGTCGCATGGCCTGCGTTATCTCCTATACCGGTCTGTATCCCTGCCACCCATCCTGGGGTTGTCTCACGGGATCCCGGAGGCTCCCTCGTCCCCCCCCCCTCACCTCCTCCTCTGGAAGAATACTTGCAATGGTGCTATCCCGTCCCAGCCGTCGGAATTCCGCATGCTCGCGAGCAAATCTCTCACACACACACGTGCGCGTGCTCGGCAAGGGTGTTAAATGGGGGATATGGGCAGTTCGCATCTGGCTGACACCCCGTTGTGCTTGTCAGATGCTGCTGAACTTTCTCGGCGGCAAGGTCATCGATGATCTCGGCAGTGTATCCCGGGCATGCGCTCTGTGTTAGCAAACGTGATTTATTTTCGTGCGCGCTCACTGAGATCCGAAGTGAGAAGTTCACATCGTTGTCGTGGTGGTAGTTGTTGTTTACCCAGGTAGAGCCTCGCTCCTTCTCTGTCTTGTAGGGAGGCCGCTTTGGATTGCACCACTTTTCGATTTCACATTAACATGCTAATTTATTACGTTAACATCACTTGCCCCGGCCACTTCTTTATGACCCTTGGGCTACACCCATTTCAAACCTTCTAAAACAGTCTGCCTCAGCAGCAGACCATGCATTTTCTATCAGAGTGTTTTTGTTTGCATTCTGACCACAAGTATTGTGGTTAATGCACACATGATTCCTTGTTAAAGGTTTCAGTTTGGTGTTTTAACATCTTAACACCTGTTTTGTTGCCAGAAAAACGGAAAAAACCTATTCTCATATTTTAGTACTGGAAAAGGTTCCATGATGAAATATTACAGTATATTATAGGTGAGCCGTGCGTGTGCAGAGAGGACAATAAGGACCTGGAAGTTAATTAATTTTGTGGCAAAAATGCAGGCCTGATAATATGTAAGGATAATGTGGTAAATGAGAAAAAATATAGCAGCGGCGGGGTGTTGGAGTGTGCAGGTGTTACAGGTGTTGATGGTGAACAGGTAAGCTAAAAATTGTGTGAAAAACATAACTTACCCTTGAGTACGCATGGAATTTTTGATGTGTGTTTGTTTCATAGTGTTGGCGCAATTTGGTTCTCAAAAAACACAAAGTCTGCTTTTTTTATATACATTTAAACTCATCTTGGAATGTTTTGTATACGGTTTCTCCACATTTATTTCAGTAATTTAGTTTATTGGGAATACAGTACAGTACTTATTATTTAGGTCAGGCTTAAATGTTAAATATCGGCATTTTAGCTTTCGCACGGCACTTTCCAAGAATGTAACCTCCACGCTATTCAAGGGGCTGCTGTATTTTTTGTCCATCAGCTATAGTACAGGAGTACGGATTTTCAGCAGAAACTAGATCTGCTTTCTTGGTGTAATTACAGCCTATAGTACCATAAAGAGGCTTGGGGTTTTGGTTTGTTTTTGGTTTTCGATGTCTCTGCCTCTTCTCACAATCGTTGAGGATTTTTATGATTTTTGGCTGGCCCATCTAAAGTTGCGTGACCAGGAGTCGGATCCCTTTCTTGTTCAATTTGGCTTGTGGCCGAAATTCCCTCTAGCCGCATGCATTACATTACGTAGCATTTTCAAATAGTTGTGTTTTGAGAAGCTCACAACGACCCTATAAAAAATGCATTTGATACAGTAACAATGATACGCTAATCAATGTCTGGTTATAGTCAAGGGATTATCCCCTGCTGGTCAACCATGTTACGCATGTTGATGATCTGGTCATGGCTACTCAATGATATTGAGTTGGAGAATCGTGTTCTGTACCTGGAGAATTCCATGACGAAATGGGGCCTTGCATATGTTCTACAAAAAGATCACCTCCCTGTGAAAATCTTGACTTAAAGCTTTCGTAACTGCAGGAATTCATATTCTTTGGGTCTTTCGGTTAAGTGACGTGACTTTACCGAAAGACCCAAAGAACACCTCCCTGGGAATTTAATGTCATACAGCACTGCACCTGCTCAGCTCTCCATGAATAATCAGGTCGTTCTACACGTGGTGGAGGAGCTCCTATACCTGGTTAATGTGTTCACGACCAGCTTTGGTTTGGCATCCAAAGTCTCACTTCAAATTGGTCTAGCAGCATTCTTTCATTAGGCTCTGTAACACTATGTGGAAGCTGCCTGGACTTTTTTTACGTACAAAGCTGTGAGTGTCCATCACCAAGGTCTAGTCCATTGCAAAGGTCTCGTCAAAAAACAGGCAATAGTCTACATTATAGACTGCCAATACACTCACCGAGGTTAAGAACCAGGCTACAGTCTACATTATAGACTGCCAGTACGCTCACCCAGAGGCGTAGCTGGGGGGGGCAGGGGGGTACATATGTCCCCGGGCGCCAAGGTAAAGGGGCGCCTAAAAGAGGCTTACAACGTTACATTATCACTTATTGCGGCGGGCGCGGCAGCCTGAAACTACTGCGCAAATCTACACCTCAACCTAAAAGTTTATATATCCCGCCACACATAGCCTACATTGCATGTAATTACATTTTCTCAGGTCATAAGATTTGTGGATGTGGATTTTCAAACTAAAAAAGTAACTATCAAAAAATCATTTTTAGGTTATATCGAGATACATGCAAAAGATGCAGCAAGCCTAGAAAGAGTCATCTTCGAGATACTGAAATTTGACAACATACCTCTAGCCGACTGTCAGGCACAATGTTATCACAATGCTGCTGTGATGACTGGGCATATATCCGGCCTTCAACAACGAATATGTGACAAAAATCACAGAGCATTGTTTGTCAACTGTGACAACCACAGCTTAAACTTAGCAGGAGTACACTCAGCTAAACAGGATCCACTTGTCGTCACGTTTTTTGGAACAGTTGAAAGTATATATTTTTCTCTCGTTCAACAATTCGTTGGGAAGAGTTAAAAAAAGCTGTGCTCATCACAGTAAAGCGGGAGTCTGAAATACGCTGGAGTGCACGATCAGAAGCTGTTAAAGCTCTCTATGAAGGAATGGATGAACTAGTAGGGCTGCTAGACAAATTGTCGGAGGACGTAACTATGACGCCTGAAACCAGAAGTGATGCATAACAGTTACAGGCATGCGTATTAAATTTTTACTTCATAGTTTTATTACATTTCTGGAATGTCATTCTTGGAAAAATGTATCGTGTTCAGAAGCGCTTACAGGGTCCTACTATGCATTTCAAGGAAGCAGCAACTGATCTTGAATCTTTGAAGCATGAATTTGTCCAGCTTCGTGATGATTTGAGCCAAGTTGCTGTAAAAAACGCCAAAACAAGATGCACAGCCTGGGGGATCGATGTGGACAGAAGAATTAGGTGACGTCGGAAGATGCCGGGAGAACTGGCACAGATGTCGATGCAATTCGTCGAAATTGCACAGATTTTGGAAATTTCTATGACACCTTCATCAATGGCCACGAACTTTTCACAGAATTTGGAGATTGCAAAATGCTGCTCGGTAACCGGAATTAAGTTCTACCAGAAACTCCTTTGGATCTTCTTGGTTTTATTGTGTTTTATGGAGACGACATATTTCCGAATTTGCGAATTTCACTGCAAATTTTATTAACACTAGCAGTTTCAATTGCAAGCTGTGAGCGGTCATTCAGCAAATTGAAACTTATTTTGTCGTATTTGCGTGCTTCAATGGGACAAGATCGTCTCAGCGATCTTGCTCTTCTTAGCGTTGAAAGAAAAACATTGGAAAAAAACATATTTTGATTACGTGATTGACCAGTTTGCGACAGTGAAATCAAGAAAAAATAATCTTTTGTAGACTATGTCAACCAGTCTACGACAGTGACTGAGTGAGCCATGTAATATAATTTCTATAAATTTGCTTCTTTATATACAATGTTTCATTAAAATTGTTATTCCTTATTCGATGTAATAGGAAAATGTGATTAAATGGGGGGGGGGGGCGCCAATTTTATAGTTCGTCCCTGGGCGCAAAATATCCTAGCTACGCCTCTGCGCTCACCGAGGTTAAGAACCAGGCTACAGTCTACATTAGTCGTTTTTTTTTCTTCTATTCACTTTATTTGTATTATTATTTTCTATCTACGTGACTTTACCGAAATAACCAAAGAATATTAATTCCTGCAGTCACGAAAGTTTTAAGTCAAAATTTAACCACCTTTTTACCATGCAAGTGTATGAACATGTGAAGTTTGTATTTGCTGTCAAGTATATTGACTCGATTGAACATGGAGGTTAAATCATAAATATAGTTTATTTTAGTTTTGCTTTGGAAATTTTCATAAGAATGGAAATTAACACAGCACATATGCAGCTGAAGTTAAATCTGTTCATCCTCGCATTCAAGCTAATCTGAGCCTGGCTTCACACCTCTAAGTTGCAAATGAACATTAATTTATACATTTCTGCATAATACAAATAGTATGCTTTTCAAAAGCCTTTGCTAGGTTAACAAATTTTTTTTTAAATATTCCTGTCGTAGCTAGACAACCGAAATTGTGTGCTTGGAGTTTTTGGTAAACATTAATTTTGAAGACACTAGGGTGTCCAGGCATATTTATGACCATTTGCCCTCGCATTGTGTGCCTTAACAGCCTGTGTGATGAATTGGGGAATCTCTTTCACTATTTCATGAAAATATGAATATGTATAGATGTGTAAGTCATGTGTGACTGTATATATGCATTCCTCTGTGCCTCAATACTCACGGAGATGGTGTGGATATGTTTTTCTGTCTGCAGCTGATGCTCGCTTTGCAGAGTTGGTCTGATGGAGCAAAGGCACTCAGCGCAGCTCGGTACAAGAAGGAAACAATGCGACCAGCATGCAAACAGCACGGATTGTACTGGAAACTTGACACAGCACCAGAGAACACACACAGGAGAGAAACCCTTCAAGTGCACTGTGTGTGGGAAGGCGTTTGCACAGTCATCAACTCTTCAGACCCACCAGAGAACACACACAGGAGAGAAACCTTTTAAGTGCAGTGTGTGTAAAAAGGTGTTTGCACGGTCATCCATTCTTAAATCACACCAGAGAACACACACAGGAGAGAAACCTTTTAAGTGCACTGTGTGTGAGAAGGCATTTTCAGATTCATCTACTCTTAAACAACACCAGAGAACACACACAGGAAAGAAACCTTTCAAGTGCACTGTGTGTGAGAAGGCGTTTGCACGGTCACCAAATCTTCAAAGACACCAGAGAACACACACAAGAGAAAAACCTTTCAAGTGCACTGTGTGTGAGGAGGCGTTTGCACGGTCATCCATTCTTAAATCACACCAGAGAACACACACAGGAGAGACACCTTTTAAGTGCACTCTGTGTGGAAAGGCGTTGGCAAAGTCATCAAATCTTAAGATCCACCAGAGAACACACACAGGAGAGAAACCTTTTAAGTGCACTCTGTGTGGGAAGGCGTTTGCAATGTCATCAAATCTTAAGACCCACCAGAAAACACACACAGGAGAGAAACATTTTAAGTGCACTCTGTGTGGGAAGGCGTTTGCAAAGTCATCATATCTTCAAACCCACCAGAGAACACACACAGGATATAAGCCCTTCAAGTGCAGTGTGTGTGGGAAGGCATTTTTTGATTCATCTTCTCTTAAACAACACCAGAGAACACACACAGGAAAGAAACCTTTCAAGTGCACTGTGTGTGAGAAGGCGTTTGCACAGTCATCACATCTTCAAAGACACCAGAGAACACACACAGGAGAGAAACCCTTCAAGTGCACTGTGTGTGAGAAGGCATTTTCATGGTCGTCATATCTTCAGACCCACCAGAGAATACACACAGGAGATAAACCCTTCAAGTGCAGTGTGTGTGAGAAGGCGTTTTCAGATTCATCTGCTCTTCGACGACACCAGAGAACACACACAGGAGATAAACCCTTCAAGTGCAGTGTGTGTGGGAAGACATTTTTAGATTCATCTACTCTTAAACAACACCAGAGAACACACACAGGAAAGAAACCTTTCAAGTGTACTGTGTGTGAGAAGGTGTTTGCAAAGTCATCAAATCTTAAAAAACACCAGAGAACACACACGCATCAGAAAATCCACAAGAAGTGTAATCTGAAATCAGCTTGTGAAAGTCAAAGTGCTGCAATGACCCCATTGTTTATGAAACAAGAACTAGAAGACAATCCCAGCCTGGACACTTTGAAAGGTATCAAGGTGAAATATGAAAAGGCGAAAGTGAAATGTGAAGAAGTAACATTGAAGAGCGTAGAAGTGAAGGTTAAATTGAAGATTCAACTCCAAAATCGGACCTTCACATAGATGGAGGCAGTGTGAAGCAGGAACTAAATTCTGACTGTGAGGCAGAGCGAGGCAACTCCCAGGAGTTTGTGGATGTGGAGGTGTGGGTGGACTTCTTAGACAATACAAAGTCAAATGGAGACCAGGTAGATGTGCAAGCTTCAGACAATTAAGCTCCAATGGATGCACCTTTGTCACAGGCCTTTCTAATGAATATAATGTGAAGTTGAACACTCAATTTCTAGGTTCAAACTGCAGTGTAAGAGTGGCCAGTATTTGTGAACCTGTGGGTTGGGGCGATCTCTAACCAGGAGTGACTCAAGTGTTTAGTATCATATCTCATCTTAGACACTCGATGGGTGTCCATAATGGGCATCTGCCCCTGTGTGCCACAAGGTGACCGTTCACTGGCCTGCATGTGGATATGAGTTTGTAAGTCGGGGGCGATGATTGATATGCCAGTCGGATTTGAACCTTGAACTTCTGCAACAAATAGAGAATGTACTACTACTTGGCTTCCCTCTATGAGAGTGCTGCACATATAGGCCTCATCTCGGCAGAGATCAACTTGTAAATACGTTGCAACGTGACGCAGTACATTTCAGTATAGTAATAAAATGTTGCCAATGTGCCCTTTGATTATTTGAATCATAATTGAAAGAATACCTGTCTGATTTTGTACGTACATACAACATTTGTGTATTAATGTAAAACATGGAATATGTGATGTCAGGACAAAGTATCTGTTTTGGTGGTAACCTGTACAAAAACTCACGTGAGAGCTGTTATTTTTGTGATACGGGTCAAAGGGTATTTTTGTGAATCAGGACGCATCTGACTGGGGCAACTCATTGTCTTTGAAATCGGGAGCATAGTCGGATCATTCATCAGTTAAGGTATGCCACTTACAAGTTACGTATAGGAGATACATTTTCCACAAGCACACTAATTATCATTTTGTATTACGTATACATTTTGTCGAACTGAGACTTGAAATGGACCTTGCCGATGAACATCAGTTGAAGCAAGCCGGACTGTTGTTGAGACATTGTACACCAAAACCAGTCCACAGGTGGCTTGTACTGAACACATGTGTAGTGCCATACGAGGGGAGGGGCTGCTGGGGGCTCTAGGATCCTAGGCAGATAAGCCCTCGGCGCCAGGCGCTAGGATCCCAGGCACCCCAAACAGTTAAGCCCCTTGGTGCCACCAACGGGGGGGCTGTGCGTGCTCTGTGGGATATCTGGGGGCACACACAACCCCACCCCTCGTTGGGGACGATGCATAAAAGGGCAGCTCCCTGGCTGATCGGGGCCAGTTGCAGCTCAAGACCAGCCAGCTTAGGACCCTGGACCCCCTCGTCCCGCTTGTCCTTGTGTAGTGGTGATACGCGCTGGGGTAGGGATCGTGTGCCAGCGCGTAGTGATTGGCTGTGTATGTGGTGACGCGCGCTGATGGTGGAGGATCAGGGGTCAGCGCGGGGTCGTGGGTTACGTGGTGCTGATTGGCTGTGTGCCGGTGACGCGCTGAGAGGGAGTGATCGGGTGGCAGCGCGGTGTGATTGGTTGAGTAGTATTAACACGCGCTGGGGAAAACGGATCGTAGAGATAGCGCGTCGTCATTGGTTAACTAAAGAGCGATGCTCACGTCGACGTCCGCATCAGCTCCGTCTCCCGTGAGCAGGGGCTATAAAAGGGGATGCACACAGGCGTAAAGACAGTATGTAACCAGCGAAGACTGAAGACGGGGATGAAGAGATAGGGCCCTGCGGTACCTAGTCCCGCTGTCCTAACGGGACCGGGACTCTGTGTAACCCAGAGGCGAATGCATTGGGTGTAGCCATAGGCATAGGGTCTACACGAGTCGAATGCATGGTGTGTAGCCAGAGGCATAGGGTCTACACGAGTTAAGTGAAGTGTGTGTAGCCAGAGGCATAGGGTCTACACGAGTTAAGTGAAGTGTGTGTAGCCAGAGGTATAGAGTCTACACGAGTTAAGTGGAGTGTATAGTGAGAAGAATAGAGACCACACGTTGTATTGTGACACATCAAGATTTAATAAAAGTGTGTTACCCGTCAAGAAGTTCCTGCCGTCATTTCCAATACTTCAACTGGCGTCAGAAGTGAAACGGTCTTCCAAGCATGGATACAAGGAAGACCCGTCGGACCCACGGGATTGACCGCGGGGACAACCTTGACGACTCGGGCCAGCTGGCATCGGGGGGTGAGGACGAAGAATTGCCCACGCTGCAGGATCCGCCGACGGCGCCGGACGAGCGACGGGGGTCCGATGCCGTGCTCCGCGAGGCGCACTCCCGTCTGGCGGAGCTGCTGCTCGCGGCCGCGTCCATCCTGGCGGAGATCAGCTCGTCGGGAGGAGCGGGGACGGCGGCGGACATTCTACAGGGTCGCCCCGCAGATTCCCGCCAAAATTATTTGGCGATTCCCGCCATTTCATCTGCGCCGACTTTTGGCGGGAACGGCCATCACCACGTGGCAGCGGTTCTCCAAGCGCGCCCGCTTACGTCACCAACGCGCGCTGCGGACCGCCATCAGACACCCGCCACTGGGGCCGCCATCTTACACACCAACGGGGGGGCGGTGAGGAACCACGAGGCGGAGGACGACTTCATCTTTCAACAACGCCTTCCCACATTGTCAGCCTTCAAGGCGGAAGGCGGGGACTGGGGCCAATTTCAGCGCAGGTTTTTGGCGCATCAGGAGATGTCCGCCTGGTCCGACGCTACGGCGCTGCGGGCACTGCCTGCCATGCTGGACGACAACGCGCTCGCGGCCTTCACGTCCGCACGCGGGTCGGACCGCTCCACGCTCAAGGATGCGCTGGCTCTCATGGCAAAGGTCTACGGTCCTCCCTCGGCGTGTCGCCATCATTTTTATGCAAGGCGGAAGGCGGACGCGGAGACCGTGCTTGCATATCGCACGGCGTTGCTGGCTCTCGGCGACGCCGCGTTCCCTCGTATGGACGAGGAGGGCAAAGATGCGATGGTTTTGGAGCAACTGCTCAAGTTGGCGCAGGACCTGGGGGTCCCCATCAACACGGCCGACGAGATCGATATTTCTTCCTTGCGGGTCGCTACAAGTATACAAGCGCACGAGGTCCTTCAACGTAAACAGGGGGTCGTCTGCAACGCTGCCGTGGCCTCAGCTCCGGGCCCGGTAGTCACCGAACCCCAAGTCGTCAGCCCACGAGAGGAGGCGTTCACCGCGGGACGACCGGGGACTGGAGGTCGGGGGGTCATTCGCCTCTGCGATCGGCCCGCAAGCTGGAGCAACCGAGATCTCCGACGACCCTCATCACGTGTTATAACTGCGGCCTCCGGGGCCACGTGGCGTCCGGTTGCCGCGCCCCCACGTCAGCGCGCCATGGGACCTCGGCTGGACGACGAACAGGCCCCAAGTCATCCCTACAAACCCGGCAAGTCGCGGCACCTCACAGCTCGGCCCGCATACTCGACACGCATGGGCCGTCGCGTTTTGCGGCGGAGGAGAGCCGGTTAGGGTTCGGGGATTCAGTTCGGCGAGGGGGGTTCGCCTGGGACGGGGAGACATTAAATGGTCGGAGTTGGGGCACAGAATAGTGGCTGCCTCAGCGGGTTCATCCGTCGTTACGGGATCTATTGATGGGGTCGAGGTCAGGGTGTTAGTGGACACGGGGGCATCTGGCGACTATATATCGGACCTCATTTACAACATTCTCCCTGTACAATGTCGCCCGCTGCTTCCAGTGGATGTGCCATTTTACGCCGCTAATGGGGGATCGTTGGGCATTATCGGTCAGATTAGGGCGTCCATTTGCATTGGAGATATCAAATTGTCGGGACCCGTTTTCGTTTCGTCCTCCTTGGCGGTTCCTTGTCTATTGGGCACTGATTTTTTGGCAAAAATGCCCATCAAAATTCTCATTGATCAGCGTTGCATTGAACTACCATCGGGTCGCCGTATTTCATTTTTGACGAGCCCTACTGAAATTCGGACGGCGTGCGCTACGATACAAGCGTTAGCAACACAGACCGTGCACGTGCCCCGGGTTCACAAATGTTAATTCCCCTCCGGTTGCGGAAAACCATGGGTGAGGGAGACCTCGGATCAAGGCATGCTTTTGGGTCCTTCTAATAGGGCTGTTGGAGGTCTCGATTTGTCGGTGGCTCACACTTTGGTTGGGGCTGACAGGGATCCGTTTGTGATGGTTTTGAACGCTGGGTCGCGGGCCGGCCGTCATTCAGCAGGGCACCGTGCTAGCTCACGCGGCACGGGTCCCTGCAGAAGAGCGGCTGGTTGCGCGGGCCTGATCCGAGCCCCACGCAAAACGTTAATCAAAGGAGGACCTCGAATGGGTCGATTCGCTGTGCGCGGACTCTGACGATTTGTCAGCGGTACAGTTGGGTGCGCTGCGCGGGTTGCTGATGAATTTTCGGATGTGTTCAGTAAACATAAGTATGACATTGGGTGCACGGACCTGTTACGCCACCACATTGAAACGGGCGATGCGGCACCGGTCAGGCTAAATCCCTTCCGACTGAGTCCTGCTGAGAAGGAACATGTTCAGTCGGCCGTTAACGATATGCTGGAAGCCGACATTATTTCGCCTTCTTCCAGTCCTTGGGGAGCACCTATTGTGCTCGTTAAAAAGCAGGACGGGTCCTTGCGATTTTGCGTCGATTTCCGTCGCCTGAATAAGATCTCTGTGGCCGACGCGTATCCGCTCCCCAGGATGGACGAGTCCCTCGATGCATTGTCGGTGCGCGATACTTTTCGACTCTTGATTTATTATCCGGATTCTGGCAGTTGCCACTCGACGAAGAGTCTAACCTAAGACAGCATTTCGGACTCCAGGGGGCCTGTTTCAGTTTAACCGGTTACCCATGGGACTTCACTCCTCTCCTGCGACGTTTCAGCGCCTTATGGAGTTGGTTTTGTCGGGCTTGCAATGGGATACGTGCTGATTTACCTTGACGATGTCATTGTTTTCAGTAAAACGTTTGAGAACACCTCCAGCGATTGA